CCCCCCCCCCCCCCCAATGGCAGCCCTGAAGACTGCAGCCAGGGCTCTCCTGTGTCAAGACTTGGGAGAAGGACCCTAGGTCAGTCACCAGCTCCACTTCTCCCAGCTTCCAGCTCTCCCATCATGGCATTCGCACAGCCCCACTTTTCTTAGCATGTGGCCATATTGAGCCTGATGGTTACACATCTGGATAGGCTAGGCCCTAGGAAACCACTTCTCCCTTACAGGAAAGGCCAGAGCCTGTATGTGTGGGAAGTCAGAGCACGTTATCACAGGCTCCCTTCTGCCTCAGGGACTGAGCAACAAAGCTCCCTTCTCCCATGCCCCACTGCTGACTCCCTCCTTTGTCCATGAGTCTAGGTCGTGCACCCTGGGGACCTGAAGAGCTCGGTGGAGGTGGCTCTGAACAAGCTGCTGGACCCCATCAGGGAGAAATTCAACAACCCAGAGATGAGGAAGCTAACCAGTGCCGCCTATCCTGATGCAGCCAAAGCCAGTAAGCAGGCACCTGCACTGCGGGGTTGGAGGGGTCTTGCTGCAGGGACACAGTCTCCTAGGCTGAAGCTGTGGCAAAATTTTGATGAGCTTAATGCCTAGGGCGAGGCCTGGAGCCCTGTCCCACGGTCTCGCTGCCTCTCGCAGCTCTTCCTGCTTCTCAGCCAGCATCTGCCATACTTGCCTCAGCTTGTGCTCTGAGGGCTGGTGAAAGGCCAGCTTGGGGGCTGTTTACTTCCCCCCAGACACTACAGGGCTCAATGCACATCTCTGTTTTCATGTGCTCTGCATACTGCATGGCTGCAGAGGGGAGGATGATCTGCACAGCTGTGTTCAAGGGCTCCTACTGACTCCAAGGATTAAACCTTGAACTGGCCTGAGACAGGGCCACCTTGTGCCCTCCTGGCTTGATGCAACACACTGCTCCTTTGGGAATGGGCTCCCTTCACACCCTCTCCCTTTCACATGCTTGCAGAGGCTGCAGAGAAAGGTCCCAAAAATTCAGACCCTGAAGACGTGATTCCCTCCCGGCTGGACATCCGTGTGGGCAGAGTGATCAGCGTGGAAAAGGTACTGGAGCTTTGCAAGGCCGGTCCAACTTGGTGAGCAGGGGTAGTGAGGAAAGTGGCTATCGGGGATAGGGATGCCTGCTACTTTGGTGTGCTGGAGTGCTGGGCCTTTTGTGAGGGATCATGCTGCTGGCTGTTCTGGCAAGGGGCTGTTGGCTGTGATGGCACAATGACCTTTTCTACATTCACTGTTGTGTACAAATTGGAAACCATTGTCCAGGAACAGTTTCCCCCAGGGCAGTGCCTCATCAGTGTGAGGAGCAGCAGGGCCAACCTCTAATGCTGCCACTCAGGACAGACCAGGGATCATCCTAGTTCCCCTCAGCCCACTCCCCTGGAGGGGAGAGTGGCCTGCCTCCAGCCTGGGAACAAGTTGGCATTTGCTTTGGCAGCACCCAGATGCCGACAGCCTATACCTGGAGCAGATCGACGTGGGTGAGCCCACGCCCCGGACAGTGGTCAGCGGCTTGGTGCAGTTCGTGCCTGAGGAGCAGCTGCAGGACAGGCTGGTGCTGTTGCTGTGCAATCTGAAGCCCCAGAAGATGAGGGGGGTTGAGTCCCAGGGGATGCTGCTGTGTGCGTCCAGGTGAGAGAAAGGGGAAGGATGTGGAGGAAGAGAATCCCGTGCCCCCATCCCAGTCCTGATTTTATTTTCTACATGGGATGAGCGAGGAAAGGCCCTGTGGCGTGGGTGACTGCAGCCTAACCCCTAATGTGCTGAACTGGGCTGGAGATGGCGACCCCATGCCCCCACACTGCCAGGCCTCCCGGTCATCCAAGGATGTTTGTGCCTGTCCCTGGGCCCCTGATCCCTTTGAGGGGGCACAGAGGAAAGGCCTCCTACGTGCCATCCCCACTGCTAACCCCTGCTCTGCCCCCTGCAGTGTTGGGGAGCCCCGGCAGGTGGAGCCCCTGGACCCGCCAGTGGGCTCCTGTCCAGGTGAGCGGGTCTTCGTGGAGGGGTATGAACACGGGCAGCCTGACGACGAGCTCAAGCCCAAGAAAAAGGTCTTTGAGAAGCTACAGGTAAGGGAGGGAACATCCAGTTGGAGGCCCCCCTGCTCTGCAGCCAAACCCTCTCCCCACCAGGCAGCCCGTTTCTGGCAGGGCCTAGCTGCTGCTCCATGACAACTGGTCATCACCTAGGGTGGCATTGGGGGTCTGTCTTAGTGTAGCTGCTGTTCTCTAGATTCTCCTTGTGGCAAAGGCACAGCATTAACGGTGCTACCACCCTTTCAGGTCACTGCTGGCCCCACCAGCGAGGGGTAATGGAGCCCTTTATCCCCCATTCCCTGGGCTTGGACTGGGCTCATCAGCAGCAGTGAAGGAAGTGGGTGCTGCAGCTCTAACCAGGCAGCCCAGGCTTTGCTTCATGAACCCTGCATCCACCCCTTATCCTACTCCTATTCTCCCCAGGCTGACTTCCGGATCTCTGAGGACTGCATCGCTCAGTGGAAGCAGAAAAACCTCATGACCAAGCAGGGCAGCATCTCATGTAAAACACTGAAGGGTGGGAACATCAGTTAACCAGTGCCAGGCGTCTGGTCCCCATGTCTGTTCACATGCCCACTACCATCCCTCACCCCCTCCTGGATTCTCTTCCCCAGCCTCTGCTGCAGCCTGGCCAAGATGCACGTGCTGCGTAGCCCCTGGACTCTAGCCCTGCTGTGCCAGGGGGCTAGGATTGAGTTTGCAGCCCCTGGTAGGGGGCACCCATTCTGCAGTGGTGTTGGGGACTTGGCCTAGTGGAGACCCTGCCTCATGCCCCTTGGAGCTGTTATCTTCCCAATCAGCTGAGCCCAGGTGTATACTGAGCATGACTCACTATGCCCCGGTAGAGTGGGCGGGGGCTGGTATGCACAGTCATTTCCCTGAAGTGCTGCTGCGGCTGTTGTCACCATGTTCTGGAAAGGCCCTGGCTGAAAACGGTCATTGTGCTTCCCTGGGCTTTCAGCTCGGCAGGGCTGTTAGTGCAGCCTGCCATTCTCATCTTGGGGAAGCTCTGAGACTTGGCCACATACAGGCCTGAATGTGGGTTCAAAAGGGAAGCTCATGTGTTCACACTGGTGTAGCTTCTACCAGAGGGTGTAGACTTGGCAGTCTGTGAAGCTGCCATTCACCAGGCTGACATGGGCACGTGCCCTCTGCTCTGTGCCTGGCACTGCTGGCTCAGGTGCACACTCTAAGGTCTCTGGCAGAGCAGCCATGAGCAGTTTGGCTGTTCCTGGGGTGGTATTACAGCTCCGTCTGCTCAGCAGTGGGGGATGCATCCCCTCCAGCCTTGGACCCAAAATCTTGTTACCGTCATACCCCTGAAATAAAGCATGGAATCGACCATGGCGTTGGCCTCACTGGGGAGGGCAGTGTGCCGGAGGCCAGCTCTGGGAGCAGGCAGGCAGGTCTGGGGCTCTCAGCCTCACGAGCCCTCGAAGTGCAGGGGGATGGGTGGGGGGATTGCTTTCTTGGGTCAGCCTTGTCTTTTCCCTTGCTGAGACTTGGTGCCCTGAGAGCACAGGAGAGGCAGGTGAAGCCAACAGTGGTGTACCCTACCTGCTAGAAATTGGGCTGAGCCCCCCAAGCTCCCATTGAAGGCAGGGCCAAGAGCGCTGGGCTGCTGAAGCTGAGGGGAGCCCTCACCCATCCCCTGGGAGGGACCTTTGCTTGGGGAGGGGCCAGAGCTGCAGGCTCCTGCATTAGAGGCCAAGGCAGCTTTGCCAGGCCGTAGCCCTTGGGACAAGAGGGAAGATGCAAGGTGCACTCTGCCACTAGCACTGCTCCCCAGGGGGAACTGAGGCTGTCAGCTCAGCCTCAGCTGCATGCAGCTATTCCCAGTCCATTGGGACATGGTGCTACAGTGGCAGCAGGGGACTTCTGTCGCCCTCCTGCACTTTAGTCTGGCTGCTTCCCCTCAGGGTAACAGGTCCACTGCATTGCTCTTGAGGTGACTGCACATGTCCCAGCCGAGGAGGGAAAGCCCAGGTGTTACCCATAAAGCACAGGAGGCCGCAAGCTTCAATCATCACCTTTACCAGAGGCGTATAGAGCTCTTGCCCACCACGCGGCAGCGTCTCAAGGCAGATGGTTTGGGTTTCCTGGTTTGTACAATCGAGGATATGGAGGTCAGGGGTGGGGAGCCCCGAGAGCACAGAAATAAAAATCCCAGTCTCTGCCCCTCTGAGAGCAGGGAGCAGACATAAAAAAAAATCACAGGTTTTGGGTCTCACCTGGTGCTGAGCCAGCTAGGCTCCTGCTGCCCAGAGCCTCAGCACCATCTGCTCCTGGCTGGCCTGGCCCAGTGCCCAAGTGCCTCTGAGCAACAGGGAGACATGCCGCTCAGAGCAGGCAAAGAGGTCAGGCCTCCAAGGCTGTGGAGCTGCCCCCACTGGCCCTTGCATGCACAGGCTGCAGGGATCAACGCAGCAGTTGGCAGCATTTGCTTCTAGGCTCAGCCCGGAGATGGGGACCAATGCTGTTCCTGCGGGGCTGCCTGCTCCCTTCTCAGACAGGCAGGGGTGCTGCCCAGCTGGTCATGCTACCAACCTGGGGCACTGCTGGGTCATTGATGGTGAAGCCTGTCAGGGCCTCAGCTTCCTGTGCCTCAAAGCGGCCAATGCACCAGGGCTTGTCCTGAAACCCTCTCCTCCCCACGCCAGCCAGACAAGGCTCTTCCCCAGAGCTGGACTGACCCCTCTGCTGACCTCAGTCCCTCCTGCTCCCTTGCCCTGCCAGGGTGAGCCCTGGGGTGGCAGAGGGCAGGGCCTGCTGCTGCTCTCACACACACACTGGCACACACACACACGCACACAGTCCCTGCTCCGAGTACAGCCAGTGCTCAGACAAAGCCTGCTTAAGCCTGGTTGGACCTGCCAGTTCTCTGAAGAGAGCTGGGCTCCTGCATCCGCTCTGAGGTCCCCAGCTGTGCCCAGGCCCCGTTTCCCCTCTCTGCTTGCTTAGGCCCACTCAGGGCAGGCAGCCCCCCCGGGCCTGCCTCTGGCTGCTCTAGCTGTGAGCTAGCTTTCCTTTCCCCGGGGTCTGCTGGCAATGGTCCCCTCCCAAGCCAGTCTCAGTGGCACTTAGCCAGTGGTGGAGCCTGCCATGTAAACAGGAGCACGTGTGGGCAACAAACCTGGCAGAGGCGCTTGTCCAGCCCCAGTGCCTGTCGCCTTCCAGATCCTCCTCCAAAGTGCTTTGATTCGATGCGGTCCTCGGTGCAGGAGGATGGGGCTGCTCCTCCACAATGTGCGAGAGTGAACCCCGAGCCAGGGTGCCGTCTCCTGACTACGCCGCCCTGACCAGGGTCCTTGTGCCAGCTGCTCTGGTCAGTCTCTGCCAGCGAGTGGTGCCAGGCTCTTGCTGGCAAACCCACTGCACGGGAGTGGCAAGCCCGGGGCGGGACTTAGTCCATACAAAAATGCAAAATAAAGCTGTGTTATTTAAGAAAGTAAAACCAACACCAGTTTTGCATAAGTATCGTCAAGGCCATTGGAGGCTAAGGCTGTTTGCTGCTTTTTATTGAGTCCGTCGCCAGCTCCACACACATCCTTTGACCTGTCCAGGTCCCTGAGAGAGATTTGCGCTCCTGTCTGTTGGGGCACCAGGGCTGCAGCGTCGTCCTTCATGCCGTCTCCTCCCTTCTGTCTGTGGGGAAAGGAAGAGGTTCCTGTTGGAGACTTGGCCATACTCGGCAGGGGGAGATGGACACGGGCTCTGAAAGTCTGTCCTTTGCCTTTGGGTAGTGAACCTATCACTGAAGCCTCCAAGCTCATCTGCCCCTCATGCTGTCGGTTGTGCACAGCATGTTTCCTGTGCCCAATTCAGCTGATGCAACCTAGCTAAAACAACTATGCCAGACTGAATCCACCTGATCCTGGAGGCTCAGCAGATCTAGACTAGCCACTGCTTGGGTGGGAGACCACCTCGGACTGCCTGGTGCCTGAGATCCAAGCCAAGGAGCAGTGGGCAAACCCCTGGGGAGGAGCAGACTCCAGAAAACAAATGAGGCTGTTGCCCAGCTGGCAGACAGGAACTGAATGAAAAACAGCCCTAGCCTTGGAGGCTTTAGCTCAAGCCACAGCAGGCTGTGATTTTTGCTCAGGAGGTCTTTTGTGTGTGGGTCAAGATGGCAGCTCTCACCCTGACACTGCTGCCTTCTGGAGCTGAAGAGCCCCTGAGCCAGTGCAGACGGGGCTTATGCCTGTCCACCAGCTGCAGGGTAATGCCCAGAGAGGCAGAGGTGCCCCTACCCCCAACACCTGCTCTGAGCAGCTCTGAAATGGGCTGTTGGTTAGCCTCCCATTCCTTATGCTGTCCTCATGGGCACATGGATGGGGTACCAGGCAGCCCAGGAGCAAGGTGTGAAATGACTTCCCTGTGGACCACAGGCAGATCTCCAGGGCATCAGCCAACCTGCTTCCCTCCCCTTCAGGCAGCGCTGGAAGCTCCAACAGATTTGGAGGGGGAGACTGGGCTGCCTCCGCTGGGCCTGGGTGCTGGCTCTCTGGCAGCTGAAAGGGAGGCCTTGGGGCTGTGGGACAGGCATGCGTCCTTCCCCCCTGCCTGGGGCTGGGCTGTCTCTGGAGCTGCTCCTTGCCCCTAGGCTGAGCCAGCGTAGCCCTGAACGCTGGGCTGCCCCTGCCGACTCCTCACTTTGGTCCACAAAATGTCTGGGGACTGAAGTGGGACTTCGGCTAAACGGAGGCAGCAAGGTCCAAGCTGCTGCTGGGAAACCTCCACCCAGCTCCCAGCCCTGGGGGCTCTGAGTTCCTCCAACACTGCACGTTGCAGCCCCGACTCTGGGCACGTGAAGGAGCACCTCAGTTCTGACACGGCTGAGTCTACAGCCAACCCCAGTGCTAAAGAAGAACAGAAGAACTGCCGTTTGCTGGGCTGGACCATACGTCCATCTTGCCCAGTCTCCTGTGCCACCATGGCAGGGAGCGGACACTGAAAGGGAGAGTGAACTGGCTACGACCAAGGTTTCCCACTGTTCCTCTCTCGCTGGCAGCCTCCAGCATTTAAGGTCTAGGACATTCGGATTCAGAGGCCGTCTCTCGAACTCCCATGCTCAATAGCGAGTGACGCTCCCTTCCTCCAAACGTGTCCAATCCCTTTGTTAGACTCTCAGCTTCCACCGCCTCTAATGACCATGGAGTTCCACACTTTAATGACAGGCTGTGTGAATTTCTTTTGCTTGTTTTAACCTTACTACCTACTAGTTTCATTTTATGACCCCTAGTTCTGCCACCTGACCTGGCCCAGGGAGTGAAGGGAAGGAACTGGCTGAAAGCTGAGATGGTCTTTGGGGCTGAGACATGCAGAAACGGCGCCAGGCCCTTGTTCTGGGATGGCCGGGATCCCCTGCGGTGGGACCCAGACATGGGCAGAAGGCACTTGCCAGTGAAAGCTGCTCAATGCACAGGGGCAGGACGCAGTGCTGCAGGCTGGGGACAGGGCCCTGTGGGAGCTGGGCGTCAGGCGGGGGTGCACCAGCAGAGCCATGGGTCTGCTTTCTGCCCACCTACCCCAGCCCCTTCCCGCCCTCAGTACCTTGTGCTGGGGGATTCTGCGATGGCGTCTCTGGGCCAGCCAGGTGCCCGGCTCTGCTGCTCTCTGCTGGGAGAGCCATGTTCCCCGACCGCTCACTCTTAGTCCTGTTTTCTTCCGCTGACAAAGCTGTGGCTTTACTGTCTGGCAGGGGTGAGCTCAGCGCCTCCGCTCCCTGCGGCTTGGGACTCGCAGGCGACTTGGGCTGCGCTGTGCCCAGGGAAGGCTTCCTGGCTACTGGAGGTGGGATCTTGCTGGGCTTCCTCTGTGCTTGTGTCTTGCCAGGGGCTGCCTGGCATGGCTGGGTTGGCGCCGGGGCTGAGGAGCGCTGTCCAGAGAGATTCATCAGCTCAGCGACCAAGTTCCTCTTGAGGTCGGCCTGTGCGTCCGGGCTAGAGGGGGTCTCGATGACCAGCTTCTTGGAGCTCTTGGCAAAGATGAAGCTGGCCGTGGAGGCAGGCGACTTGTGGAGGGGGGATACCTGGCCATCCTTGGCATCCCCTGCAAGGGCCTCTGGGCCAGCAGCCACGGGGCCCGGGAGAGTCAACTTATTGCCACGGGCTGGCTGGGAGGATGCAGGTCCCGGCGCCTCCCTGGAAGACAAGGTGGAAGCCTTGAGACGTACGGCATTGTGGAGCTGGTTCAAAGGCACGGTGTCTTTGGAAGGAGCAGGCTGCCGCATGGACAGGGCCCTGCGGATGGGCTTCTGGGGCACAGGCTGGGCCTGCCTCACCTCGCCATTGGCACCCAACCCAGCCTGGCCAGGGGGCTGGTTGCTGGGGTCTGTGGCAGCATGGGGATCCACGCTGACCGAGCGCAGACGCACCATCTGCAGCAGGGAGGGCGTGACGATGGGCAGGTTGGCATCCTCCTTTGGCATGGGGCTGCTCTTGGTCCGACACGCAGGCTCCTTCTTGGGATCCAGCCGGGAGCCATTCACTGTCTTCTTAAGGCTTGCTTGAGGCTGGAGACCAGTGGGCAGAGCAGGGGGGGCTGGAGCTGCTGGTGGGGGAGGTGGAGCTTTTGCCCCCACCGGCTTGGGCTGGCTAGGCTGGGAGCCCGGCGGGGCAGCAGGGCCAGGCGTTGAGGCAGGAGGCGACTCCATGGTGGGAGATGGCAGTGCTGCCCCAGTCGACGTGCCCTCCTGCTGGATCCTGGAGGACACTGTGGCCAAGAAGGAGACCGAGGTTGCCCCTTGGCTGCCCTGCAGGGGTGCTGCTTTTGTGCCACTTGGCTGCTCCATGGCCGCGGGCTCCAGACGGGCTTCTGCAGCATCAGTGACAGGGAGATGCTCCGGCGGGGCCAGGGTGGAGAAACAGGCTTCGTCTGGTGGGGGGAAGTCTGCCATGGACAGGTCCTGCTCATCCAGGGCTGGTGGGGGTGGCGGGGGCCACAGAGCGTCCGGCAGGGTCTCCGGGGCAGTCTCTGAGCGGGGACCCTCTGGGCTCGATTCAGCCTTTTTCGCCGGCGGTGGCGGAGGGTGGTAGGAAGGGGGAGGAGATGGAGGGGGTGACTTGGTATCAGGCTTGGGGAGTGCCGAGGGCACCTGCTCTGCTGCTCTCGAGGCTCGCGTCTCCCGTGGGAGGGGAGAAGAGGTGGTGGGGCTGGTGAAGGGAGCTGCCTGCTGGGGCTTGGTGGGAGGGGGGGAGAAGGGGGCCGGCACCTTGGGGTGAGGAGGGATAATAAACTTCTCCATTCTGCTCTGCAGGGAGGGGATGGAGCCAGCAGGGCCTGGGCCAGCGGGGGGTGGTGGTGCCATCTCGGCGGGGGCTGGGTCCGAGGCCGAGGAGGACAGGGACGTCAGGGACGAGGACATGGACAGCGCGGGAGACTTGAGGGAGCAGACCCTCTCCGGCTTCTTTGGCTGTGGCCGCCTGGCGTTGGGGGAGGCGGCGTGAGGGCTGAGCCCCTTGCTGGGGAGCGTGGGGGTGCCGCTCTGGCTCGAGTACCCACTGGAGGGGGACATGGTGCGGTCAAAGCCGTCAGGGGAGCTGCGCTTCGGCACAGCCTGTGACTCCCTCAGCACCAGGACCGTGCCTTCCCCCCTGCCCTGCGGCCTCTCCCCCAGCACCGGGCTGCACCGCGAGATGTCGGGCGAGCTGGCGTCGGCCGAATAGGCCAGGCTGTCAGAGCGGATGCTGCTGGTCTCACTCAGCGAGGACGGGGAGAAGACCTCATCCTCGCCTGCGAGGCTCCGGCTGCCCAGGCGCAGCGTCCAGGGTGCACCGCTCTCGTGCTGAGGCCTGCGCTCTGGCTTGGGTGGCAAGCCCAGCACCTTCTGCTCCCTGCCAGCCGCCTCCTTCTCTTGGGCCTTCTGGAGCAGGGAGTGGGTCCTCCGGGGAGGTGCCGGGGGTTTCTTCATCTTCCTGAGGGAGACGCTGCGCACCGAGGAGCGGTCACTCCGCAGGCTGGCGGTGTCCGAGCCGTCCGCCACACTGCCGGTGCTGTAGGCAGGTGAGGCCCGGCCGCTGCTGCCCCCAGCGCTCCGCAGCCCCACCATCAGGAGGCCACGGGAGGTGGGCACAGGGGTGGACTTGGAGCTGGCACCGACATGGTTCACAGCGCTGTTGACACTGAGTTGATCCGTGTCCAACTTGCCCGCTGGCTCCGCCTCGCCATGCGGCCCAGCCTCCACCTTCCTGCTGCCAGAACCGCCGTGGGAGGAGATGGTGGAGCTGTTGGACACGATGGTCTCCGTGGACTGGGAGTGGCTCCAGTTGTCGCTGGAGGAGGAGGGCTCCCGGCTGCGGCAGCTGCTCTCGGAGAAGCGGGTAAGGGAGCGGACCGAGGCAGGGCTGGAGGCCAGGCTGCAGCGGCTCAGCGTCCGCACGCTGGTGCGCGTCAGGGCGACGACATCCACCATGGGGGGCAGGATGGCGTTGGGGATGATCTTGGACAGGTAGGTGCCTTGCGGAGAGATGGACATGACGGGGCGCAGCAGCTCGGGGGAGCCGGCGTGGGTGGTCATTCCTGGCACCGCCAGCGACTTCGGCCTCACCATGGGGGACAGCTTGGCTGCCGTCTTCCTCCCCAGCAGCGTGTCATCGTAGTACATCCGCTCGATGTGCTTCTGGAGGGCCGCCTCTGCCTCCGCCTCTTCCAGTGCCCGCAGGGACACGTGGGCACCACCTTCAGGTGCCGGCCGCTCTTGAAGCTTCCCGTCAACAGTTGGGATGCGGATGGCCTCGCCGCCATTCACCAGGATCTGGGGGGCCGTGCCCAGGGGACTGCTGCCCCGACCCACCTGCCCGAGGCCATCCCGGGGGGCGATGCTGCTGGGACGCACCTTTGGCTCATGGCCATTCCTCAGACCTGAGGGGAAGGAAGGAGCAAAGCCCCTATGTGGTGATACAGATACAGAGGGGCAGGCAGAGCCAGTGGGCTGGGCAGGGCTCAGCTCTTGGCCCCACAGGCTGCGCTGCTACCGGGAGGCGGCAGAGCCTCGCCTGCAGCCTGGGGCTGGGTTCTCCGCAGGGAGGGAGCTTTGTCCCCTCGGGAAGGGAGCTGCTCCAGGCGGTGCGGCCCATTCCCCTGCCCCCACTTACCGAGCTCCTTCTGGACATGGTGGGGGATGCCCAGCACGGTCGTCCTCCTCTCCTTCCTCCTCTTCCCGGCCTTCTCCGAGGACTTTGGAAAGGAGTCATGAGGCCGGAAGGTGGAACCTGGAATGCAACCAGAGTCAAATAAGGTCCCGAGCGTGTGAGCAGGGACAAGCCAGGGGGCATGGTCCACCCAGGACAGACGTCACCCTCCCCCCTGCCGTGGCGCTGGCCTTGCACCATCCTGGCTCCTGCCTGAGGGCAGAGGCCAGCCGGATGCGGGGGAGCTAGGCTCACGAGGCCCAGAGGGCTGCGTGCTCTGACTCTTTCTTTCCGTCCTTGTTTATCTGTTGGATTCCCAGTTTTCCTGCCGTGAACCAAAGACCCACCCCATAGGTGGGGGGCAGGGGGGACAGGGCTAGGGTCTGAGTGACTCTGAGGGTAACAAATGAAACAACAGAGAAGGGAGCAAGGCCAAGGGGCTGAAGAAAGGGTTGGGGGGAGGCACTGACCGTGCCCATGGCTCTTCCAAGGTACCTGAGATAAGGGCCCAGAGTTAGGCCCCTTAGCCACAGGGCACCTCAGATTGGTTGACCCTCCTGCTGGTGCCGTGCATGGCCTGTTTTGCTAAGAAAGCTGGGGGAAGCAAGCGAGGTCTCCTGACCTAATGGGGAGAGATGGAGACAAAGCCTGGCAAGGCATGACTACGGTCCCCTGGCCGCTCCTGCAACGGGTGCAGTCCTAAAGCCAGCAGCAGCCTCTGTCCCCACTGGAATCCCTCTAATCTTTGTGGCCCCGAGCCCCCATCCCCACCTGTCCGGCCCACAGCCCTCAGCTGGACTGTGCTGGTCCGAGCTGCCAGATCAACCCCACTCTCCTGCCCAGCCATGGTACCTTTCCGCTGGATCATCTCGGAGCGGACAGAGAGGGCATCCTCCGAGGCGCTGTCTGTCATGCATGACTGTGTCTGGCTGCAGAACGAGAGCTCATCGTCGTCCATGGACATGTGGGAAGACTGCCAGGGGGAACGTGGGTTCAGAGGGGGCCTGGGCTGGAGCAGATGAGCCGCTTCCTTCCCCTGGCAAGCAGCCTCCATGCCCCTTGCTCCTAGATGGGCCCCTCATCTGCTGGAAACCAGCTCACAGTGGGGCACTCCCCTACAGCCAAGCGTGCTGGGTCAGCCCTTGCAAGCAGACAGACCCCTCTCTCTGCGAAGCTGGACAGGAGAGTCCAGACGGGAGCTAGGGACTGTCCAGAGGGAGCAGCCCTGTCCTCCCCTGACAGGACGCCAGAGGGCACCACTCGCTGCACAGCTGGGCCAGACTGGCGCAATGTGGAGTCCAGACCCCCCTCGCAGCCCAGCCACAGTTCCTGCATGGCCTGGAGATGATCCAGGCACTGGGGACCCCAGTCCCAGGAGGGTGCCCGTGTGCACACCAGCCTCTCACCAGCAACATCAGCCCTGCAACCCTGCTCTCCCAGGGCCATTCAGGCTCAAACAAACCATACCGCTAAACCATGCAGTGCCGAGAAGCCCCCGTCAGGCCCCTCTCTCAGCGCCTGGCCGTCCACCTCGGCTCTGAGCCCCCGCACTTCCTTCCCAGGGCTGCTACCCTCAGCCAGCCACTCATTCAGGCCCCACCCAGCTGCTGAGACCTCTGTCAGCGCCTGCCCACGGGACTCCCAGGCCTGCACAGCCACAGGGACAACAGCGTCCAGGTGGCTCGCTGCCCAGGGCTGCCTGCATCCCCATGCTGGGGCGTGACCACCCTGAGTATCCACTTACCTGGATGCTGTTGGTATCTCCATGGTCCCAAGTGCCTTTGGTTTGCTTCTGTTTTTCTAGAAAAGCAACAAAAGGCAAAAATCCTTTAGGGGAGTGGCTGCGAGAGGCCGCCTAGGCTGGAGCAGGGCAGCACTCAGCAGAGCAGAGCTGGGGGCAGCAGCCAGCCACCCTGCGTGCCACCAGCTGGCAGGTGTCCTTTCCAAAATGAGCTGTGAGCCCTCAGGGATGCTATCCCCTGGGATCGATAGGCCCTCCCCCAGTGCTGCCTGCGTCTGCCGGCCCCCAGGCACTGGACTCTGACCAGCCACAGCAAGAGTGCACCCGCCCACAGCCGGGTCTGGGACGGGGAGAGGTTGCTGTGCAGCTGCAGGCTGGTGGCACTTCCACACCAGACTCAGCAAGGGAACTGGTGGGGAGTGTAAGCGGCTCTGCCCGTCACCTGCTCCACATCATCTCCAGCCTGCCAGCCCCTTGGGATGCTTCCCCTGGACGCATGTCCAGGGAGGCAAGCAGGGGCAGGAGGCCCTATCTGTTCCAACCCCCTGCCCGGTGGGTCAACTTGTGGAGCCCCTACTCCCACCCGCCACCTCCCCAGAGAGCAGGGAGGTGGCACAAAGCAAGAAACCACTGCAGGGCAGCATGGGGCAGAGGCTGCTCACAGGCTGCAGGGGAGAGGGTACAACGAACGAGGCAGCGATGCCCCTGCAAAGGAAATGCCCCGACAGGCGGGGGGGGGTTGCAGAGTGTTGCAGGATGGGGATGGGCAAGCAGGCCCCCTGCTGTGGCACAGACCTTGATGCTGCAGGGACTTGAGCCCCGCCTGAGCCTGGTTGTGAAGCTCCTCCAAGTGCGGTGGGCGGCTGCTGGGGAAGAAGACGTTGTCGGGGCCCTCGTCCCTCGTCCGGTACTGCACGCTCAGCCGCTTGTCATTCTCAGCCTTGGCAGCCCCTGGGAAAAAGAGGGAGAGTCAGCCCAGCGCCCCACAGCGAGGGGCAGCTCCAGCCTGAGGCCCCACTCGAGGCTCATCTGCACAGCTCCTCTCCCGCTCCCGCCTGCTTGGGATGGGGAGAGGCCTGGTACCCTTTGGCCACCCAAGCCTCAATGCAACACTGAACTGCTCTTGGCACCAGCATGTGGGAATGTCCCTTGGCTGGCCGACTGCTCAGCTGGGGGGCACCACGGGGCTGGGCAAGGGGGCAGGGAGCAAGGGGCCTGGACAGGAGCCAGTCTGCAACCGGGGACAGCAGAGGCCACAAGGACCTTGCGGAGAGGCAGCAGCTGGAGCCCAGGTGCCCACTCCCCCATCACGGGGTACTGCGCTCCGCACACTCTACACCCGTCCTGCCCCTGCCAGCCTGAGATGCCCACAACTCCTGCTGCACATGGGTGCAGCAGAGCAGAGCGCAGCCCTGCACTCCTGGCACCCTGCTGCAGGCACCCCATTGCGTCGGGCTGCACCATCTCACGCCCCAGGGACATGGGGAACACGGCCCAGGGGAGAACCAGTGCATTGCCTGCTTGGAGAATAGGAAATGAAGCCCCCACTCCACTCCCCCAGCACTGGGCGAAGGCCCACTGTCCCTCCGGGCTGTGCAGACCTTACAAGCCCAGCTGAACTCAGCACAGCGGGAGGTGGCAGACTGCCTCTTGGTCTGGGAGGCAGCCTTGGGAGCAGTCCCTGTGACCTCCCCCTCCCAGGGGGGCTGCGCCCAGAGCCCGAGGCAGGGAGCCCAGAAATCCAGCCGAGGCACCACATGCTTCTACCCCATGGCTAGAGCCAAAGGGAGGGCAGGGAGCTGGGTCCTGTTACTCAGCGCACTGCACCTGCAGCAACTGCAGGCAAACCCTGGCCTGGACTCCTGGTCCTGCCCGCAGCTGCGCCAGGGCTCTGCTCCCGTCCCTCCTCTCCACCCCCTTCCTCCCTGCTCCAGGCAGGGGTCGGCTCAGACGCTGCATAGCCTGGGTCAGAGCAGAAAACGTGCACCAGGCTGGCAGGGTGGGGCAGGGGCAAGCCTGAACAGGGCTGAGTATGTATGTGGGGAGGCAGGATTCCCCAGGACCGAGCACGCGTGCGCAAACAGGGAGGGGTGAAGGATCCTGCCCAACCTGTGCAAACTGTGCATTTAAACATGCTGCAAGAAGAATCAGATCAGGAGCAAGGAGAGGCCTCCTGCCCGACGCCCTCCCCCTGCTCCAGCGTCCCCGACCTGTTCCCTGCAGGCCCATCTCCCATGGGCACGGCTCGGGAGGACGCTCGGCAGGACGCAGGCGCTAGCTGGGCGTGTGCAGGGCTCCCGCCTGGCCGTATCCATTACATGGGCGCCTTTCACAGGCAGCTCCGCTTGCAGCCCGCGCTGGCCAGGGTGACCCACCCTCTTCCCCCGAGCCACGGGGCCGGCTCGGCTCCATTTGGAAGCAGATCCTGTGCCTTTAAACGTGAATGCACTGAACAAGCGAGAGCTCCCCAGGGCGTATCGCATGACTGATACCAGAACGATCTGTGCACCTTGCACGCCACCCAAACACCGCTTAAAGGGACAGGCCTCGCCCGCCAAGGCCGGCAGGCAGTGGGGCCTGGGCGCCAGCCTCCCCCCAGACAGCTGGAGCTGCAGGAGCAGGGGGACAAAGCCAAAGGGAGTGGAGGGCACCCCATGCCTTTAAGCCCATCCCCAATAACAGCAGCCCCGAGCCAAGGTGCCCAAGACCGCAGTGATAAACAGCAGAGCTCTCCCTGATCACCATGCCACATAGGCCAGTTCAGGCTCCCAGCTCCCCTCCATGCCATGGGGCAGGCTCAGCCTGGAACAAGCTAGCAGCACAGGGCAGGAACACCAGGCACCTTTGGGTGGCATCAAAGCTGTGTGTCATGGGCCCTACAGGGCTGGGGACAGAGGGAGATTTTCCTGGCAGCAGCAAGAGCCTGAGGGTAGATGCCGGCTCTGTCCCTGCCGCCTCTGGGGAGGTCTGCATGGGCTGCGGGGATCAGTGTGGGAGGCCAAACTCCACAGACTGATTACAAGACGACTCTCCCACATCACAGATGGGGAAACCGAGGCTCAGCAGGAAGTGACTCGCTGGCATCACAGTGTGTCCATGCAGGGGAGGGCCCAGTCCCCTGCGCTGGCTGCTGCATGCTAACCCTGCTTGGCTTGGAGATGTTGTAGCAGCACAACCACGCCAGCGCAAGGGGCACTGTACAGCAGTGCGAGCCCCAGGGTGGGTGCAATGAGCTGGGGTAACATAGCTCCAGCCCCTGGCAGCCCTCCCCGTACGTTACCCCAGCTTGTTCAGCCTCGGACAAGCAGAGCTGCACCCCCACCGCGGAGCTCGTCTTGCATCGCATGAAGGCTGTGCCAGGACAGCTACAGCGGCTCAGCGCATGTGCAGACGAGGCCCTGGGTATCCCTGCTGGACCCCGGCTGCCATCCCTCCTCCCCGCTGACCAGCTGCAAGGAAGAAGCAGGGCCCTAAGGGTGCCATAAGCAGGCTTCTATCAGCCCCTCCAGGGCCTGGGAGTTGACAGAGGAGGAAAGGAGTTGATGTCAGCACCAGCAGCTGGGAGCAATGAGTGATCAGGCTGGGGGACCTCGCTGGCACCCACACTCAGCACGAATCCCCGCTTCCCAGCCCTGAGCAAACTGCGCCCACGGTCCTGCTCCTTCAGCCTGGCAGCTCCTTCCCGAGCTCTGGGTGCTTCTCTCCAGGCCCAGCTTTCACCCCAGCGTGGTTCAAAGGGAGATCCCCATTGCCCTTTGTGCTTGCACAGCACGTCAGGCCTTCGACCACTCTCCAATCCAACCCCCAGGGGGAAGGGGGCAGTCCCCTGGGCACAGAGAGGGCCAGGACTTCACAGCCACCCCCCCAGGGACAGGTACTTTAGTCAATAACCATAACATGGGGACAGCCGGCGGCAGACAGCCATGGCTTGTGATGTGCCAGAAATCAGGCTGCTGACCCTATGAGCTTGATGTAAGGTCACACAGCCAGAGGCAGGACAGGAGTCTGGACTGGTTCACAGCCCATAGTCTTCAACCCACTTCTCTCCTAAGTGTGCTGAAGCCCTCCAGATGCTGACTCAAGGCCCCTCTGGGCTCTTGGCTCCGTGGCGAATCAATATGGCACAGAGAGGTTTTTAAGTGCTGCTAATGCTGTGGAGGTTTCCTCCCTGCCACCCAGACAAGCCAGCGGCTGCAGTCCCCAAGACCAAGCAGCTCCCGGCATCTTGGTCAGGGAATCAGACAGCACTGGCGGGGGCTGGTGACAGCAGGGGAGGGTGGTAAGCACACCGGGGTGGGGAGGTGGGAGCCTGCAGTAAAGCAAGAAAATAAACCAGGCTCCCTCCTCCCACCTGGGCATTCACACCCCTCTGATCGCACCTCCGGTGAGGCCCTCACAAGCCATGAATTAACCCAGCCACGGCACTAGGGGCAGGGGAACCATAAACCCATTTCCCAGCTGTGGAAACTGAGGCACACCAGAATGTTACCAGGAGTGCTCTGGAGATGGGAGAGGCAGCAGCTCTCCTTGCTCACAGCCACCTATGCTGTTAGGTCACACACCCTCCCCCAGCCTGGTGAAGCCATAGCTGTCCCCACAGGGGTCCCTGGTTTGCCATCGCCCATCAGTCACCACCAAACAGCTGCTCAGCAGCTGGAGGCTCCCACAGGCAGCTCTCACCAGCTGCCCCAGCCCCCTGTTCTGTGCTACAGGACCTGTCCGGAGAGGCTCACGGCTCTCAGGTCAGGGGGAGGCAAATAGTTCCCCTCCCGGGGGGTATCTCCGGCCAGCCCGAGCTTAGCTCAGCTCAGCTCAGCTCATCCCCCAGCCCTGCTGCAGTGGAGAGAATAACACTTTGTGGTGGGGAAGGGAGGGGAAGCAGCTGGCAGAGGCTGCAGCACCACTGCAGACGTGGATACCACCCATCTTCCTGGGGTCTGCAGAGCGAGCCACCAGTCCGAGGCTGCAGGCAAGGAGCCCCCGAGCACTGGAGCAGCCCCCACCTGCCCCCAGACCTCCCTCCGGCATTCGCACCCGGCTTAAAAAGCAGGCTGCTGAACGGCTGCAGCACCCAGCACCACACAATAGGGAAGGGACACAGGACAATGGAGAGGATTCCACCCTGCTAAGCCGCATAGAAAGAGGGATTGTCTTCCCTGGTCAGCGAGCCAACCCCGAGCGTCCCAGCCGTGCTGGGCCCAAGCCCGCAGCCCCGGGAGACCTGGCTGATGGGAGACGCACGCACGCAGGCTTCATCCACAATGCCCTCTGCTCCCAAAACGAGACCACAAAGACGCCAGGCTCCCACCCAGCTGCTCGCTGCTGCCATGTCAAGCGAATCTCAGCCTACTCCGCTACCCTGCCTCCGCCAGGCAAGCAGCAGCTGTGATTTATTCCATTAACTTCCTAACGAGCGAGGCTGGTGCCAGGGTGACCTTTTCCTGCCCAACCCTGCAAGGCAGGAACCAGAGCTGGGGTCCTCTGCACGCCAAGCAGCCAGCTCCAGCCATGCCCCCAGCAGCCGGTGGGAGTCCCGATGGCGTGGGGGCCAGGCGCGCTTGGAGATCTCTGGCAACAGAGGTTGTTTAAGGACGCCTGCACTCACCTTTCTTCTTAAAGAGAGCTAGGAGCGAGGGGAGGTTCCTCCCAAGGAAAACCACCATCCCTGCAGTGGGGGGAGCTCCCCTGGAGAGTCCTGCCTGGGGGCCAGCCGGGGCTGCCCTAGAGCACAGAGACCGCTGCCTTTCTCCAGCTGCCTGCCAGCATTCAGGATCCCGAGCACCTTCTGCTGCCTCTCGCTTTCCCACTCATCTGTGGCTTGCGTCCTGGCAGGAGGATGCACAGACCCAGGCGCGCAGCGCGGCTGCCGGCACCGCGGCAGCGAAGAGGGAGAGCAGGGCGGAGGACTGTGAACTCAAGGGCAGAGAGGGAGGCGGAGGCGGGGGTCTCTGCCTCTCGGTGGAGGCCGGGAGGGGAGCGCCTGCCAGCCCCCAGCTGTTTCACCAGAACTGCTCATTCACAGCAAAAGAAAAGCAGCCCCTCCTCTGCCCTCCTCCCTCCCCTCCCACCAGGCCCTGGGGCTGCCCCAGGCACAGCTGCTACATCCAGAGCACCATGGGGCTGGCAGGCCATGCCCAGCCCCACCTTACCCCGCTCCACAGCAGCGCCATCCAGAGATCGGACTCCTAAGCAGCGGGGCAGAGCGGGGCAGCCCCAAGGGCACAATCCTGCCCTCGCCCCCGGTCAGCCCCTCTCCCTGGGAATCCCTGCAGACCCGTCTGCTCCAGGCACTAGCAGCTGGTAGCAGAATTTGCCACTCTGGTGCCCACGGCAGCAAAGGTCTTCCCACGGCTAAGACGCTGGCCTGCCTGTGGGGTCGAAAGCCAAGAGAGCCCTGGGTGGGGAGGGAGCCAGGGAATCACGGACGGCCCCCCCCACCCTTATTCCTGCTCCCTTTGGGCCCCAAGGTAATGCCCTGGACAAGTCGTTGGCACCAACCTGTGTCTCTTCATGCACGTGGCTCTGTGAGGGTCAGCCAGGTCTGGGAAACGTGGCCTCTGAGGGCAGTCGGGGAGAGGAGAAGACCGAGGGGGGGATTTGATCACTCCCCTGGGGATGGGACCAGCAGCCACGGCCTTGCATTGCACCAAGAGAGACTTGGGTGGGAAAAGCCATCTCAGAGGATGGCTCGGTACCAGGACAGGTCGCAGAGCCTCCACCCTTGGACGCACAGCAGACAACCGCTGGCTGGGCTGGCCACAGCTGGCTGGGGTGAGGCACGGCCGCCTTCCCGGGGCACTAAAAGAAGTTGCAGCAAACGCGGAGAGGACGGGTGTGGCTCAAGCCTTGCGTCTCATCTTGGGAGGCAGCTCAGGCTCGGAGTGAGGAGCTTGGGATGACACAGCAGCCCTGTGGCCGAGCCGAGGCTACAACCCAGGAGTCTGTGCAGCCCTCGCCAAGGGATGCCCGCGTACCCCACCGACGTGCAAGCCCCCCAGTCTCAGCGGTGCTGGTGCCAAGATCGCTCGGGCTGAGCCCGCATCCTGGGCTGTGCTGCTCCCTCCCATCCCGCCGGGGTAACTGAGCGTCCTGCAGCCCAGGGGCAGTGCCCTCCCCTCCCCCTGCTCTGCTGGGGAGCTGAACCTCTCTCGCTCTCTTGCTGCTGAATATTCATCAGGGCTCTTGGCGAGCGGATTCCCCGGGCAGGGCAGGCCAGCGCCATCTGGCATGCGGCAGGCCTGGGCCTTTGAACAACCCCAGGAACATTGCAGGGGGTCGCCTGCAGCTGCAGCGCCGGAGACACAAGGGCCCTCCCTCACACTCCCGGCTGCCACCCCAGGCCTGCACAAAGCCCGGGGACAGCGGGCAGCTGGGACCAGCCAGCGCTGAAGGGAGGGGGTGGGAGGTGGGAAGCAGAGGGCCCCCCCCCGCTCCTTCATGTACAGCCCTGGACCCCGCCACGGGACTCCACCCCACTGCCCGCTCCGAGGCCCGGCCTGTAGAGTCCTGGCACGTGGGCGCTGCATCCCCCGGGGCACGGCCAGGCGCAGCCATCTGTGCAGGGATCGCGGGCAGATGCTCTGGGGGGATTCCTCTGCACTGCCAGATGGGACTGGTGTCTGCCCCCAGCCCAGGAACAAGAGGGGCAGCACACAAGCTGCTCCTGCCCTTGCCCCCGTACACCAATGGGGAGACTGCACCAGCCGGGAGAGCAGACCCCCCCACACACGCACCGGCTCCTTCATACGCAGGACCACCCCGTTTGCAACCTGGACTGCTCCCGAGTCCCAGAGCGCGCTCCAGCCTGTGTGATACCTCCAACGGGACAGGGGTTTCCCAGCTCCTTTGGCTACGGCTGGAAGCTCGGTACCCAAGAGGCGCAGGCAGCTTGAGGAAGCAGACAGCACCTTGCCCCTGAAATGCCAACAACCACAAGACACCACCTCCTTGCCCCACAGCTCCTCTCATAAGCTTCGCTGGAGCCGGGCAGGGTAAGAAGTGCAGCAGCGTGAGGAGGGCTGGCGGCCCCTGCACAGACACCTGCCTGGAGGGGGCTGTGGCCAGGGGGCCCGGCTGTTTCCACAATCCAGGTTGAAAGCGAGATCCTCCAAAAGGATGGGAGCAGCACTTTCTTGAAGCAGCGGATGTTGAAACAGCTGCAGCCCAGGGTATCGGCACCACACAGCACATGCCACGGTGGGCTGCCGGGGATATGCCCTGCTGCAGGAGAGCAGACCTGCTCTATCCCCAGACCCACCCTGTCTTGAAGCTGAAGCCACTGGAGCCTCCCCACTTCTGCTCAAGCTCCCAGCCCAGCAAAGCACTGGACTGCACCCACTTGAAACTGCAATGGCAGGAGACGGTCACCCATGCTGTAACCTGGGTACAGCCAATACCCTGACCCTTGTCAGCTTATCCAAGTGGCCCCTCGTGATAGCAGAGGGTCAGAAATATGGGTTTCCTCCTCATCCAAGAGCTGCCAGGGCACTCAGAGGATAGGCTGCTATTTAGCTCCCCTCTGACCTGGTGGTCACAAATGCACACACAAGTGCATGCACACACCATCTCTGGGCACAAATCTGCCAGCACACTTGATGAACATGCACCACAAGCAAGTCTTGCAGGAAGGGCTCCTGGGCCAGCCTGCTCCAAAATACCCAGCTGGGCATCCTTAGAGACCAGACCAGGAAGAAGAGCTGAAAGGAAAGCAGGCCGGGGCCTTCCCACCGCAGGCCAGGGAACGCTCTCCTTGAGCCCGTACTTCGTGCAAGCACCAAGAGCAGAGGGTGAGATGGGCTCTGGGGTTCGGCCCAGAGGGTCCCCTACTTTAAAGCAGATGCTCATGTGTGGAAAGCCTATGTCCTTAAACCAACACGGCTACAACCAACAACCTTGCAGCTCAGAGGAAGCCGGCTGTCCGTTGTGGGGCACAAGGCAAGAGAATCCCATGTCGAGCTGAGACAGAACCAGATGTTCCCAGCTGTGCACAATGCACCATCCTAGTAACAGCGGAGCAAAAGGGATGGGGGGCTGCAATCGGGACAGGGGGTTGTGGCTGAACAGCCAGGCAGAAGGGAGGATGCCAGCAGAGCTACATGGGAGGACGATCCCAGATGGGAGCGGTTGCTGGCTGGTCTGGAACAGGGGAGGGAGCTGCCAGCCCTGGCCATGCCTCAGCCAAGTAGCCCCAGGCTCTATGGCTTCCCCCCAGCCCCAGGCCCCATCTGCCTGCAAACATCCAGCTCAGCCTCCACAGCAATGCCCCAACTTGTCTTCTCCCTCTGCAAACCATCCAGGAGGCAGGGAACACCCAGCTCCCGCAGCCCCCTTCCACCACGGCTGACTCACAGGAGAGGAATGAAGAGGAGGGGCAGAGCTGGGGGTTGGCCAGAGGGAGGGGAGCTGCTGGGGCCTGGGAACGAGAGGAGAAAGCCCTCCTCTCTGCAGTGCACAGTCCGGGGGGCTCTCAGGGCCCCATACAACACCAGTGTGCCCTCCCCCAGCCCCACACCTCCTTCTCCAGTCCTAGCAGAGCCAGGCCCAGCGTAGGCTGCAAGGTGCTGAATGCCCCCCCAGCAAGCAGGAGCATGTGGGCTTCACCGGCGCCCCAGGCAGAGCCTCGCCAAGAGCCCGTCACACACACACTCTCACAGCACACTGGGGCACGAGCCAGCAAGGGCCAGATGTGCATGCATGTGGCCAGGCAATAGGCCCACATGCCGAGTGGGGAGAGCAGCTGCACCCCACCCCTAGAGCCCAGCACCCTCGCCCTCATGCAGGCTGCCCGCAGCTCAGCCCTGAGGAGGGGCAGAGTCAGCTGAGGTTTGCAAATGCTGCTCTGAGCATGGAAAGCCCCAGAGAAGTCGTCCTGTGGACACCACTTGGCGGGAGAGGTCCCAGAGCCCTTCACAGCCTGTACACATCCACCACCACCAAAATGCTCCAAGCTCTGCCTGCCAGTGCCAGCTCTCTGACTCCTAGGCATGGCAGAGGTGGCAAAGGTGGAGCCAACGCTGCAGAAGGATTAAGGTCCTGGCGCCGTGCCTCCCCCAGAGCCAGCTCCACAACCAGTCGGGTGGCTTGGGTTGTGCCAGCTGCCCAGACAGGATTCTTCCTCTGATGGGGTGCAAGGACGCTGTTTCTGTACAATGAGCCCTGGCGTGTTCACCTTTCACTTGGACGCACCGTCTCTGCCAGGGTGACCTGCTTGCCCATGGTGCCACACCTGCCCTGCCCCACAGCAGTGCCAGGGCCTCGCCCAGGGGACCTTCGCTCTTCTGCCTGCCCCGCTTCCCTTCCACGTGCGGCACATGCCTAGCTGTCTACGGCACACGCAGTGCACACCAGGGCAAGCAGCTGCTTGCAGAGGTTGCCGCAGCTCTCACTGGCATGCAGACAGAAGGGTGGAGCGGACAGCAGGCCCTCCTCAGCCCCGGGTCCTCGCAGGCCAATGGTGTGACCCAAGCAAGGCACGTAGGGCCGGGCTCTGAAAAGGCAGAGGTGCCTGCTACCTGCTGTGACCTGGGAGCGCAACACCACAGTCCCTTGCCAAATCTGGTGCCAAGGCCCATGCTTTCAGAAGCAGCTGCTGCTTTGGAGGACCTCAGCCTGAGACACCTACACCTTGTGCAGTGGTGCCAAGCGCTCTCTGCTCCCCGCAACTCCACCGGGAAGCCACGGAGGCTGTTTTAATGTTCAGCCTCTCCAGAGGGGGTAAAAGGGGTAAAAGCCTGGAAGGAACCCAAGGTTTGGCTCCAGGTTCTCCAACGCGAATCGGGATTCGGGTGATAAATGATAGTGTTTTTAAGCACTCTTCTGTTTGATGAAGGAGCTTGTCCAGCATCCAATCCCTCGTCTGGCAAGTCCCTGCATGAATTTCCATCCTCCTGGCACGCAG